AAGCCATTATTAAATTGTGATATTTATGAGCAGGTATCCAGATGGTTAATTATGATGAAGTTTGAGGAGTGGAAGGGATCCAAGTTTCAAATAAACTAGAGGGGCAGCTAACCAAATTAACTTTACCCAACTTTTCTTCTATCAAACCCTGAGAGGTTGACCGTTGAGGTTCTTCTTGGTCTTCCAACTTCGTCTTGCACCTTTTGTTCCTGCGAATTAAATTTATGCAAGACCTTTAGTTTAACCAGTGAATTTTATAAAGAGAATGGATAAACACAGCGGGGTTCAATTCAAAATTCAAATGATATATCCAATAAGATGCTACAATAATCAAACCTCAATTTCACCAAAGAACAACCAAATGTCCACATAATTCAGCACAGTAGTAGCTCTAAAATTAATAGGAACAGAACTAAAAACATTTTTAACTATTTTCCTGGAATTTGACTACACGTTAACTGATATCTATCTACAAAGAATTCAACCAAAACCCAAAACAAAAACTTACAGAAACTCAACCAAGGAAAATCATATGCTGTGTGTATCCTTTGAAAAGGTCATGGGTCTTAAAATTAGCACAGTTTCATGTGACACCAAGAAAGTATACAGATACTGGTAGGATAACATAATAAAACAGGAAAGCTTCCATGGCAATCATTTAAACACAGCTAATAATGCACCCACTCTTCATTTTTTGCAGATTTCTTTGATAGTAACTCTAACAAAATTAAAAGTTCAATATTTCTAGAATAATGTACCGATGATCATTAAGGTCGTCATCTCCATCCTCCTCCTCGTCATCATCATCGATATCGGGACCAACTTCTTCCTCTTCATTTCCTCGTTCATCAGGGGACGAATCGGAAGAACAGGCTTCGAGCTCTGCATCAATCAATGCAGCAAAGTCATCACTGCTTGACGAGTGTACCGGGGAATCAGTTGCAAAACTCATCTGCAAAATTACAGTGCCACATGAAAATCTATATAATTCAATCATATAAGAATGAAATAAAAAAGGTTTAACTGAATCAGTTGCAGAGCTCAATTGCAAAATTACATAGCCAAATAAAAGAACTATAATAAAACATCCATAAATGGAAAAAGGTTAAACTCTATAATTCACACATTAAAGAAAACAGAAACCAAATATGTGAACTAAAAGGTTACATCCATTTTAACTGCTGACTGTAATACCGGTGGAAGGGAAGTTGGGAATTAGTAGTCAGTTCGTTGAAGATTGTTGTAATTCTGTTAATAGCAGTTGATTGATTGTAAGCGTATATAAATACGAACACATTGGAGATGAATAGTAGTCAGAAGTTCAATTCATTCTTTTATCCCTTTTCCTGCTTACAAACTAAACCCTAGAATAACTCTCGATCGTTGTTCTCTATTCACAGCGTCCCTGAGTGTATTCTTTTCACAGTTCCATACACCATAAAAACAGAATACCAAAAACGCCATAAAAAAGATGCAGAACCAGAGATCACATAACACAAATCAAATCAAAAGAAGAAAAATCAAATGGCCGAGGAAGAAATCTATTTAGCTTATGAATTCAAGAATGACCTCATTTAATTTTCTTGCTTATGGGCTTTGGTTTGAGAACTTGAAGGTGGGACCGGCAGAGAGGTATCGGGCGGACCGGCGCGGGCGAAATTGACGGAAGTGGAACAGAAGGAGAAGGTATGGCACGCGCATAGAAGGAGCGTGAGCAGATTTGGCCTGTGCTGGTACTGAGATCTTGGGGGAAGCGGAAAGGAAGTTGAGCTTGGGGGGAGGTTTGATGGTTTCGGGGCGGGACTTGGGATATAAATGGTGAGAAGAGCGATGGCTCGGGCTTATTTGAGTCACCCGATCCACGTAAACAATAACCATTTAAACATTTATCTTACAATTAATAATAAAAAAATACTACACAATTACTCCAATAACGTGTTAAAAATATTTATTTAAGGTGTAAAAAAATTGTATTTTTAAATAGAATATTTGTTGCAGTATCTATTAGAAGTTACATATAACAGACAACGATTTTTATAAGACGTTGATCACTTGACGAATTTTAAAGCGTCATCATCAATCACTATTAAAATGCATGCATGAAGCTTGAAGATGTACCACATCCCATACGACTTTCAATAAATACTGTAATACACATTATACTTGAAAAATAATTTTATATGACCCATTTTTTTTACACATTATAAAAAGTAATGTCTTGTTTCATCTATAATTAGATTTGCCATTTAATTAGACTCAATTTTATAGGGCCGATTTTGTTCAAAAAAAAGAGTTCGAATCGGAGTAGAGTATTTTTTAAGTACGAGGTCATATTAGATTAAAATTCGATTTGACATGAGATAATAATATAATTATCTCTTAAATATTTATAAAATAAAGTTATTTTAGTCTCTTACATTATCCGTTCATTTAATTTTAGTCTCTCAACCACTAACTCTCCATAAACTATTAACAAAAATCTAAGTTATCAATTAAATAATAATAGGAAAACCTGTGTTTTCTTCAATTCTTCTTCTTGGGAATTTCCACGTTATTGGTCCGCCTTATTAAACTTTGCTTCCCGAACTAAAACTTCTGAAAACTGGCCTCAAACACAAGACCCAGAGTCAACCCAGTTTACTTTTAAAAATAATATGGGTGTGTAACCACAAAATATCACATGGCAGACAAGGCCTTGGTAGTCGAGCCTGTATTAAGTGCTTGTTAGCTAGATGAATATGTTATTCCTGTCTATGACCTAACCAATCTAATCCATACAACTCAAAATTTCACAAGAAAGTGTTCGTGAAGTTCCTGCTCTAATGGCACTAAGCCCTTCTGGAGAACGAGGTGGGCAGCTGACAGATCGAACGAGTGCTTGTCCTGCCAGCTAGCTGTGGAGGCTAACAATGTCCGAGGATGGCACGCCGTCCCGGCTCATTGCCTTCACCACATCGAAACTTAAATGATCAGAGAGCAATACGAGCAGGACGTTAACTACTTCGTGGAACAAATAGAGAATTACGTTACAGAACTTGTTGTGGGTGAAGATGGCATGGATGCTTGGATCCTTGATGTTGATGACACCTGCATCTCAAATATATTATACTACCAGAGAAAGAAATACGGGTATTAATAATTCATTTAATTCTCCTAATTGTACTAATTCAACTCTCATCTTAATTTGTGAGCCTCAGGATCCTAGGGGTTTTAAGGCATGGATATTGAAGGCAGTGTGTTGGACAATCCCTACTGTACTCGGGTTGTTTCAGAAGCTGGTCGACAGCGGATTTAAGGTGTTCTTGCTCAAGACCTTAGCCACTGCCATCATTGATGATTTGCATACCCAACGCCAAGGATTCATGGGCTATGAAAGGGTGATTTTTAGGTATAATGAGATTTATTTCTATATATTTATGGGGAATTTAAAGGAAGCTCAGGTTATGTAAGAGCCAAATAAACTATGTAATTGATTTAAGAAGAATAGACGTGATTTTTTTTAATTGCCAACTCATACTTCCATTAAAGAATTAACGTGAAATAACGATCGATGGATTAAAATCGAAGAAATCAATACCGAGACTAAAATCACTTCATTTCTAAACTGGTGATCAAAATCGAACAAATTAAAAACATAAGGGACCATTTGTATAGTTTACCCATAATAATAATAATACTTCTCTATACACTAATATCACACCCTTTAGATTATTTCATAAAATTAAAAATATTCTTATAATTATTAAAAAGTAAGTATTTTATTGTTATTTTAATATATAATACTTTTATTTATTTTAAAAATACATGAGTTAATGATTAATTTCGATTATCAATTTGAATATATTCGTTGTCATTTTATCTATTTATATTTTGTAATGATTACTTTTAATTGTATTTATATAAATATAATGATTTTATTATAATTTCACATGTTATTTAATTAAGAGTAAATTATATTAATGTTGATTTAACTTTTAAGATGTTTAAGATAACGATCTTAAAAAATACCTAGTTCTCGCATTTGTGGTGAGTAGCTCATCATTTTTCTTTTCATTTTTTATTGATGACGGTAATAATTTTAATGTTGATTATCGTTTGTCAATAATTGTTATTTTATTTTGTATACTACATCTTTATTTTATTTATTTTTTATTTTTAATAAATATGTCTTTATGGTACATTTTAGTTTATCTTTTGTCACGTTTTCAATTGTTTGACTGTTGTTTTCATTTATCTTTTTTTTAAGGGTTGATTTGACATCGTCATGACTGATTAATATGACGCTTATATGTTATCATGATAATATTTTTTGTTTTGGACCATCTAATTAGATTTGGATACCCGATTTGCATTTGTGAATAATTCACATTGCTCCCCTCTGATTTGCAGTTTATCATAGGTCTTTCAGTAGCTTGATAATCTTTTGTGGTTCATTTGCAAATGCGATCAAATCTGATTGTATCTATATTTGTTCGAATTTTTTATTAGATTTTTTAATCTTTTTTATGATCCTTATGTGATATAAAATTACTAGTTTTCGTGTCAATGATTATAAAAAAAAATCTTAATTATATGTTTAATTTATAATTATGATAGTAAATTTTTATTATAATTCAAAATATTTTCTCTTTTTTTAATAAAACTAGCTACCTGCTAAATAAAAAACTTTTAAGATGCTTATACTTAGATCGTTATTTTTTCTTAATTACATAATACTTCAATGACACAAAACGTACAAGGTGGACGACAAGTCCTTCACAACTTTTTCCATATTTACCAAGGTGACTAAATTGTAAATATACTAAAATTTCATTGATCATTAGTGTAGTTTACCCTTCAATTAATTTTGATTTCTCCAATGACAAAACGTACAAGGTGGACGACACGTGGAATCCCTCACCGGAATCTTGTCTGAGCTCAGATCTATATCGTTACTTCTTCTCTGAGTTTTCCATATTTTCCATATTTTCGCTTATCTTCATTCTTTCTCTAAATCTTTTACCGTTACTTATTCTCTGAGCTGCCGCCCTTTCAGTTCCACGTGGAATCCCTCACCGGAATCTTGTCTGAGCTCCGATCTATATCGTCGGGATCTTCATCGAACCAAAGGTACTCTATTTTTCGATTCAAATCTCTCTGTTTGTTAACTATAATAATTTTTTTGAGCTCTCGATATATTTGCATTTTGGAAAGTGGGTAGCTAAGTTAGAATTATATAAATAAGTGGATTTTTTTGCTTGGGTTCAATGGATGTAAAGATTAGATATTATTATATGAAATTTGGGTCGTGTTGCATTTCTTTGCTTCTGTTACTTAAGGGGTAGGTCTAATTTTATCCAAAATAGAAGTAAAAATGGGGTTTTAAATGATTGAGACGACTGACTTTATGGTATGAATAAAAGTTGAATTTCTATTCAAGGTTATACACAATCTTCCAACCAGATAAAATTATCAAGTTGTAAAGAAAGGATATTTGAAACTGAAAGCCCCTTTCATTGTGAGGCACTTTTTGGGATGAACGATGTTGTCTTAGGTGGGAGAGGAGGATGAGCTAGTTATGGTTAATAAACATATGTTAAATAGCCTAGATGATTATACTTCTCTTTATAAACAATATTGATTTGTGGAGAAAAATAATATGAGATAAATGATTTATATAGTGAGAGGTCTAAATTTGCAAGAAACCAATTTTTTGTTCAAAACTTTTTGTTGCAAGATGTGGAGAAACTGAGTGAAGTAACCACTTTGTTGGTTTTAAATAGGGATTTCACCTGATGTATTCACTACTTTCTTCATTTCGTTTAAGTTAATGCCAACCTCTCTAGCTTTTACCATTTTCCCAAGTGCATTTTGGTGTTTAACAATAGCAGTGGTCAATAAGCATTGCTAATTTTTTTTGAACAGATTATGCATGTATGTGCGTACAATATGTATTCTTGTTATGATAGTTATGTCATATTATTGAATAAATGTATCAACTTTGGCTTCCATTTATGCCTAATATGGTATGACATTGTTTTTCAATTTGAAGCTCATGGCATACTATTCTTGCACCATAATGAGATATGCTTGTTGAATAAAGTTTTCTTACCTTGTGTTTGATTTAGGAATGTATAATAACTTAGGAGCCCAGCCTGGGGTGCCGATGCCACCGACAAATCCTCAGCCAACTCCATTTGGTAATGCATTTTACGGGGCTGGTTCTGGTCTTATCCGAGGTGGTCTAGGTGCATATGGGGAGAAAATTTTGGGATCAAGTTCTGAGTATGTGCAGAGCAATGTAAGTAGCACGCTGGTTCAGTTATCTTTACTCTATGCTTAAATGATGTATTATTTTTACTCCTTGTTGCATCATAGTATTATGTATTTGAATATTGTTGTTTCAGGAAATCCATCAAAGTTGTATGTGGTTTTCGATCAAATTGGATCCCAAATCATTTTCCACACAGAATTACTAATTGCTTAACTTGGTTTGAACTTTAAACCATCTGTTTGTGAAGCCTTTGACTTTTCTTAGGGGTGTATTTGATTTGTCTCTCTTCAGTTTCCGGTCAACTTTTCAGTCAAAATGTGCTTTTTAATTTGGAAATTGAAACCGAAGCAAATTTCTTAAACTTCTAAGTTCTAACATAAAGTTTATCCGTTCAATTTGATACATGTTCTTTATACTTAGAAGGGTTTTTAATTTTGTAAGTTCTTTTAATCCATTTGAACTTTAAGAAAACAACTGTTTAAATATATGCAAGAATTAAAGTAATCAAAATCAAGTTAAATTCGGTTAGCCACTTGGGATTAATTATTTAGGTTTTTCAGTAAACAACTCCCAAATGGTTTTTGTTATTACCTGAACTTAAATTGAACAAAGAATTTTGAAAGACTGAACCAAACAGATATCATGTCCGGATTGAGTTTTCTTTTAGTTTTCCTCACCTATGATGAATTCTGTGGAATCAATTGTATATGGCCTCTAAATGTTTTTAATCTGCATGGGCTAGAGTTGAAAATATTTGCTTAAATGGAAGATCTGAAATTTTGAATTTTGTTTGGGCTTATGACTTGTTACTTTTTTACATCTTGAAATGAGCAGATAAGTAGATACTTCTCTGATCCTCAATACTACTTTCAAGTGAATGATCAGTATGCGAGAAAGAAATTGAAGGTTGTTTTACTGCCATTTCTGCACAGGGTAAGCATATGCCCCCATTTGGGACATTTTCCGTTATTTTGTTCAATTTTCCTTCTCAAACTCGTGCTTTTCCTTCAGGGCCATTGGACAAGAATAACTGAGCCAGTGGGTGGCACACTTTCATATAAACCCCCTATTTTTGACATAAATGCACCAGATATATACATCCCATTTATGGCTTTTGGCACCTATGTCGTCCTTGCTGGAGTATCACTGGGCCTTCAAGGGAAGTAAGTATTTGCAACTCATTCAGTTAGCTTATTTTTAATATATGTTGCTCGGACTTTTCATTTTCTTTTAAGTATCCATATTCGATACCCCATGTGTGACACATTCAGATATGGGTACGGGAAAAATTGAAAATGTTGCATGCCTGTATATGTCATTCACATCTGTGTCAAAGTAACATAGGTTTCAATCCTTAAACCTTATTGTGGGCAGTTTTTTTCTGCTATGTTGCTATTTCTGATTAGGTTGCCTTCTAACACCTTTTTCAATTTTTCTTTTTCTTCGAATATTTAAAAAAATTGTTACCAGCAATAGAAGAAATGATTATTTTTATTCTTGCACGTCAATGTTTACACCGTTCTGTATTTTATCTTGTAATGGTAACCTGCAAAAGTCTGTCTTTTGTCCCCATTAGAGTAACATAAGCTTCAGCGTCTTGCTATTTGCATTAAGATCTGGCTTTTAGTAGTCTAGCCTTATTGACGGTGGATTACCGGTTACCCCTCTAGATTTGGTTATTGTGATATGCGATGTGCCAAACTTGATTCAAATGTAGTGCTTGGCTAGATTCCTCATCTTCTTTATCCCTAAAATGGTTTCTATTCTCTTCTTTTCCACCAGGTTTAGCCCTGAAGCACTCAACTGGCTTTTCGTTAAGGGATTGTTCGGCTGGTTTCTGCAAGTCATGCTGCTGAAAGTAATGTTACTCTCATTGGGCAGCGGTGAGGCGCCTTTACTCGACATTCTGGCATACGCCGGGTATACTTTCACAGGAATATGTTTGGCCGTTCTCGGCAGTATCATATGGAGATACTCGTACTACTTTTTGATGCCTTGTACGTGCTTGTGCATGGGAGTCTTCTAGGTGAAGACGATGAAGAGAGTGCTGTTCGCGGAGGTTAGAGGTTACGATTCTAGCAAGCATCACTATCTTTTGCTGTTTATCGCGCTGGTTCAATTCCCGCTTTTCACATGGCTGGGCAACATTAGTGTTAACTGGCTTTTCTAAAACCATTGTCTAAAATTGTGTTTATTACCCAGCAGCTTTAACTGTGATTTTAGGCAATTTTTACCATAGATAATTTATCCTGTTTTTAGATTCTTTTGTTTCTCAAATTCATAAAAACCAATGCCCATGTGCTGAGAAATCTAAAACTTGTTTGAATATTTTTACCCCAATATTTTCCTATGATGTAATCTCTCTACTTAATCAAAAAATAAAATATAAAAAACGTTATTATAATATTTGTGAAAAAAATAAATCAAAATCCAAACAGTTAGTTTTTTTAATAGTCAAATAGTTAATTTCATCACTCAATAATAGGTAACTTAAATTTCATCACTCAATTTTCTTCTCATTTTTATTTTAATTATTTAATTTTAAAAGATTTCAATTTATTTATTGAAGTTTCAATTTTCTCTTACTTTGGTCATTCTGCTACTAAATACGATGTTATGATTGAATATTTTTCTTTAAAAATTAGGAAATGGTCTCAAAAGTTTCTTATTTTTTACATAAAAAATGAGTTTCAAATTTCTTTTGAGAAATATCTTCTTCTTAATCTCAATAGTAGAAAAGGTGGAAAAAGAGAAAGCAAATTGTATAACTTTATTTCATGTTGATCAGATGGGTGGAGAAAGAGAAAGCAAATTGTATAACTTTATTTCATGTTCATCGGATGGCGGATATTGTAGATATGTAGTTTGGGATTTCATGACTTTTGGATTTATGATTCAGCTTTAAAGTGATTAAGTAAACTCTAAATTGATAGAATAATAAGAGATAATGAGACGAATTTGTTGATATCTTGAGTGGTCGGAAAAGATTCCAAAAAATTATAATTGTAGCGTTGACGTGAAATATAGATGAAATTATAAAACTTTCATTTTTTTATGGAAGAAGATAAAACAAATGATATGGATGATATATTGATTATATGTCAGTAAAAAATAGTCCACATCAATACACATGTCTATTATGTTACTCTCATATATGATTTAACACTTAAATGATAAAATAAAGATAAATTTTAATAAATTAATTAAAAAATAAAAGTATGAAACAAAACTAAAAACATTTGAGTGGAAAAAATTTATTATGTATCCTTTTGTAACATGTGATACTTCTGCTCATATAAATTGTATTTTCGAAAAATATTCATTCATAAAACTCTAGAGCATTTACGAAGAGAATGATCATCCACATCCACTCACGTCTGCCAAGAAAAGTTAAAGCTACAACTGCCCTGACTGATAAATGTGATGAGCACTGTGAAGATTTAGCTCTTGAATGAACGAAAATAAACAGAAATTGCTACTGCTCCTAATGGGCAAATAAATGATGTAAAAGCATAATGATTAATTTTATTATTTTCATAAAGAAAGGTATATATATTATGTGGAAGAATGAAAAGGCATAATAATAATAAAGCAAACGTGAGAAGGGCTGTCCACAGTACAACACAATATCACAACAGCTCAAACCAGGCATTGAACCAAAAGGACTCATTGTGGTCCAAACAGTGCAACAGCTTAAGCAAGAATGAGAAAAATAATAGAAACATAAGAATAAGAACTGGATCCCATCACAGCCCCCTGCCAAGAGAATCGTGACACTACAAAATTAGAGCTTCTACTCTGGGATACCGATGGCGATACCTAAGGTTTAGCTATATTTTGATTTCTTTTAACTCTGTTATATCACAAGCTTTGTATGTAACTTCCTTTTCTCGGACGGGAACTTGTTCTCATTGATAACTGCCGCCATATGGCTGTTGATAATATCCACCGGAACCCATCATAGGGTTATAACTTCCAGGCATTCCAGCTTGAGGTTGCATGTAGGGTCTCTGCCCCATTCCCATCTTCATGCCCATGTTGTTCATCCCCATTCCCATTGGTCGTTGATTCATTCCACCGTAGCCTCCTCCCATGCCCATGCCTCCAGCAGGTCCACCCATTCCCATACCCATGCCCATACCGGAACCTACCATAGGATTTGCTGGAGGTCTTAGAGCACTAGCACCTGAACGACCAATCCCGGAACCCGATCCCATTGCTTTACCCATGGTGATTGTAGATGTCACCGAATTCGGGGCAGGCTTTTCCATCCTCTTTTCTTTCCGATTAAGAGCATCAAAGTCCACTCCAATATCAGCCAATGGGTTGGTTTTAGCTGCATATGGAAAATAGAAAGTTAGTACATACGGAAGAGAAAAACTTCATGACATTTTTTTTACGAAGGAATGGTGAAAACTTACGCCCAGATATATTCAAATTGACCAGTCCTCTGTTCAATGTATCGGCCCAAACTGCCGACTCAAATTTATCCTTCGATGGTTGTGAAACAGGAACTATAGCAAGTGCTCCTGTTGACGAGGGAGTAACTGTCTGTGGTGCCATTGAAGGCTTTGATCCAGGTTGTGAAACTAATCCACCCATGACATCATTGTTATTTTGTGGTTGAGCAGCCATGTGTGAACTGACAGGAGCATTAGAACCAATGTGAGAGTTGAAGCTCCCATTGCTGATTTGGGCAGCAGATTCTGGGATCTGAGGGGACATAGACACAGTCTGTGGGTTAAAATCACAATACGAATTATTCAAGATTGGTTGCATGGGTTGGGCATATGGATTAGCATTTGGCTGTGCAGGTTGACCATATGGATTAGCACCAGGTTGTGGCGGTTGACTATAAGGATTAGCACTTGGCTGCATAGATTGGCCATACATGTCAACACTGGGCTGTGCAGGCCCAGAAGCTGGAAAAACATCCGCCAGTATATCACTTTCCAGATTTGGAGTTGACAATTCCTGGGGCAGAAACTGGGAGTTTGTTGATGGAGGTTGAACACTGGACACACTAGGTGCAGAGTAAGCATTGGCAGAGAATGAGTCCCCAAAGTTGAAGTTTGTGGCTGTCTCAAAATTCGCAGAAGGGGGCTGAGGAACTACTGCATTTTGATTTGTTGCAGGCTGGAAAGTAGGCATGGAAGTAGAAATTTGTTGCACCGCTGGGGCAGCATCAGTTGAAGGGACAGCTTTAAAAGGATCATCGCCAAATGGATCATCAAAACCCTGATCAAGAACAATATACCATAAATATTGATGACAACAGATTAACTAAAATATATATATTGAAGTCCACTGGAATCAAGGAAGAAGAGTAAATAAGGGAGAGATAGGAAAGAGGAAAAAATCTTTAACAAGTACCTCAATTAAATGATTTATGTTACCTGATTTCCAAAATTAGATGCCGACTGATTAGCAGCAAAGGTGGGCATAGTACCAGAGTTGGCACGGGCATCGGACTCAGTAGCATGGTTTTCAGGTGTAACTGGGACTATGGCAAATGAATCAGACAGAACATCCAGTAAGTCTATTTCAGCATTGGTCGAAGCAGAGGGAACAGCAGTAGCAGGGACAGATGCTGCAGCAGGAGCAGTAGTTGGAGCGGCTGTAATTGATGAGAAATAGATAAATTAGTCGCAGTTATAGGGGATAAATGCAACAGGGATCAACAGGAATCCAGTCTAAGTTCCTCAAAACAAGGAGTTTGTTCCATACAGTCACATGGAACTCCAACCAGTAATTTCATTTGAGTTGAGCAAATAAAATTCAAAACTGAAATAAGTAACCAAAATAGTCTTTTATGTTCTAATTTAAAACTGTCACTAGTATATAACCAACAGCAAAAGGTTTAGCTCCCCAAAAAGTAATATCCACATTTAAATGGCTAACCATTTGGCAATAAACATGTAATTCACAGATAGAAAATAAACTAAAAGCTACCACATGAAAAATAAATAAAAATAATAATAAAATGGAATGTGGAGCAACAGAGCATGTCAAACCTAATATTTGGACTCAGAAAATTAAACTTCCCAGGGTGATATGTCAAGACAAAAGAACAGCACATGAACTAAGTTTCATAATAGAAGACCGCTATGACCATCCAGGTAATACAACAGGAACACAGAAACCATCGAATTCATACAGAATTTCATACCTGAAACTGATCCGCGGGGATCAAATTCATCAAAGACCTCCACTTGATGATTTGGAGGAGAAGCTGAATTACTAAGATCAGGGGCTGCTTGGTTAGGATTATTATTGCTAGCAGGAGGAGAAGACCCAGGAGCAGCTGCTACAGAAGTTTGGCCAACCCTATCATAATTTTTTTTTTCAGTATGCACCATCAAGAAAAACACAATTCCAAGCTACATGTATGAAAAGAAATACCTTTCACTATGGGCAGGACTCTGAGTCTCATTTACTGCATCTTCATAACTAGGAGGAGCACCAACATTTTGGTCAGAATGCTTCCGCTCATGCTGCCTGCACAAAAAATACATATTTTCAGAAAATTTTAGAAAAAAGAAACCGACAATTATTGTCTAATAAAACATTGATCAACCACAATCAAAGGTTAGCCTAGTTGGTTCATGAATACAGACTTAAGAGGTGGCACCCAACAAGTCTAGATTTTAAATTTCAGCACTTGTAAGTTGTAATCTCCTCTGTTATTCCTAGGCTGCGATCTCCTTTAAGAAAACTTAACTAATACAAGTTGATACTGCATCGACACATGGTTACCTTCCATCCTGAGAGTGATCATCAGCTCTAGCACCACTGCCCCTGCAGAGAAGATGATCAAGCTAAGTCCATGTCAAGCATACCAAAAAGGTTTGAGCACCCTACTTAAATTTATAAAGGATCCCAACTATTAAATCTGGACATATTATATGGTTAAAGGACACCCAAAAGCAGATTTAGATAGAAAATTTCCATGGAAAGTTACCAAGTAAATGCACCATTTAAGAATCCTAATCTAGTGCAATAGAAACTATTAATATTTACACCTTCCACTTTGAATGTTTTTCATTATTACTTCAACAAAAAACTGAAACAAGGTTAACATAATTGAATCAACAATATTAATGTTTCCTAAAAGAACATAGCAATATAAAGGCCTCAACGTAAATAAGTGCATACCGAGAAGAAGCACCATCCTCATCAAAAGCACGGTCTCTATCAGAGCTCCTAGATCTTGTGCCATATTCATAATCATCAACACTTCTACTTCTACCTCGGTAGTCATCATCCTTGTAACCATCTCTGCCATAACGATCTCCATCACGGTTGTTTGAATCCCCATATCTTCCATACCGATCATCATCTCTATAGCCATACTCACGGTCTCTTCCATTACCATTCTGATCATCATAATCCCTGTTTCCATAACGATCATAATCATATCTGTCTCCATATCCCCCTGAACCTGGCCTATACATTCCACCTGTTGATGTATTTCGAAACCTGTACAACAAACAGGACTATATTATGGATCAACATCCTCATTACTTAATATTCTCATATCAAGAATGAAACTCCAAAGCAATATCTTCTAACAAATTGTTAATGGGAGAAGAAACGTAATCATACAGATCCCACTGATCGTGAGCAAGAAATGTAACCAGAAGTCTAGAACTTACATAAATGGAACTGAATGAAAAAGAAACTAGATTAAGCATGAACCTTCTCTATTTGAGTTCCATTTCTGTGCTAATATTCTCAAAGGTTCAAGTCAATTACTCAAGAAAGGAAGAAAAAATGGATGTCAGCTGGTGAACACATGAACAAGAAATATCCCACATTTAAAGGCAAGAATGCAAAAACACAACTGCAACTTTGGGGAGAAAAACCAATCTAATCAATCTCAATAAATTTTCCATTGACAAATTAATAATGCTTCCAACTGAAACTGATGTGTAGCATGCACGTGTCTCTCACTGCTATGTGAACAACAGATACCTCATAACACATCAAGTCTCCTACCAAAGAGAAAGGGCACCCGCATATGTGCATGCTCATGCACACATGTACTTCTCAAGTTGAAAGTAATGTAAACTCTTGAAGAGATGTACTTTCATGTTGAAAGGACTCAAAAAAATTATTGATAAGCATGATCATGTATAATTTGATGATAAAAGCAGCGCAGAACCAAAAGAACCACCGATATTTGTCAATGCTAGTGTTAAAACAATTATTTGGGAGGATGGTTGAACACAGCAACAAGATTAAAGCATAAAGGCAGCTTGCTGACTCACTTGTCCCTGTTTGCTGCAGCTTTTTCTCTTACTTCAATTATTCTTTCTTTATCATTTACTAAGGCCACAAGGCTCTGAGATTTTTTTCGGACATTGTTACCTTGGTCCCTTCCACTGGAATCAATATACTGAAAATTGGACAAGGTCTGTAACATGGAAAGAAATATTTAATCAGACCAAAATATTTAAATCCAGTAAGCTGCAGATTGCATCATCAACAGAGTCATATAGAATTAAGAAAAATAAATTACCGATATTTGGTATGCATGTTCTCTTATGTCATCTATGACACGTTCCGATCCATTAGCAACAAGGTATTCCAGAACTGTCAGAGCCTGAAGCACAACAAAACAAATACCTTAGCAGGTTGGTACATATTATTTGGGGGGAAGTTGAAGAAACATAAAACATATACAGATAAATAGAAGAGAAATGTAGTACACAAAATATGAATCAGAAGATGATGAACGTTTCAAAATTGAAGATGGAAATTTATTTAAAGGATAAATGCTAACAATTAAATGAGATTTTCATATGATCTCTTTTACATGTTGCAGAGGAAACAAGTTGATAATGAATGAAACTAATCTTTGCTGACCTTGTAGACATGACGCCAATTCTTTCCAGTGTCACTTAGACGTTTCCAAATTACTGTCATAATCATCTGATACTCATGACTGCATGAATATTTAAAAGAAAATGAATTTACCAGTAACATAAATGGAATGAAAATCATACATAACTTATCTCAAGCTTACTAGTTTCTTGTAGCCATTGCAATATCTGCAAGAAGTGATCCATGAGGACCCCAGGGCTCATTACTGGTGGCATCAAGAACCTGAAAGACAAAAAGGAAAAGAATTCTATTTCATATGGATAAATTAAATATCAACAGTACTAGTTGTCGTTCGAGCATACTGTATCTATTGTTAAATACTTCTATGGAAAATCCCCTCCTTACATAAAGGAGAACAAAAATAAGTATGAAGAAAGTAGTTTAGATCCAATATACTATATCAAGATCCAGCTCAACCAGCATCTTAAGCACTTAACCAAACTTAATAAGATATTCATATGAAAAATAGATAACAAATGTAAGATTCAGTTGATTTAGTAACTTTTGATTAAGTGCTCTGAAACATTGAAACAAACATCCACACTAGCCTGTGACAGGCAAACACAGGATGTCAAGAACAGAGATCAGTGAAACTCCTCTCCCAACTCGAATTAACCACTTGTCCACTCTGACCCCATTCCTTATAGTGCTTGGTTAAAAAGTGTCATATGTAGCCTTTGACCGGTAGGAAACTACCCCTCATAAATTAAATATAGATCAGGCTACAAATCCAAAAACTTAATTAATTTTAAAATTAGTTCATGTGCCTATATGCTCCAACTCTTCATTTTTCATGAAGTACTGGTGTGCAGCACCTATGTCTAACGCATATGCGATTATAGGTATGGTGATATGACCTTCCAAGGACCCTCCAAATACATGGAAAAACCAAGAAAAATTGAACACACCGATGTTCGACATATACCAATACCGTATATAACAATCACAATTCACAACCAAGCCCAAGTATATAATCTAACTTAGTTCACTCCAGTTTCTTTCATCCCTTTACTAGAACATGAAAACTTATAAAATCACAATAGCAGTTTAATAATAATGCTAAAAGGCCCCAACCTTTTAGTACCTAAATTGGGGGTCAGAGTTAGAATCACATTCATGGTTTAATATTTTTCATATGATATCAATCAAAACAATATCTAGATAGTTTATTATATCCCCTTGCCTACCAATCAGGAATTCTTACAATTATACAACAGTCAGCTTTTAAGTACGCAAATAAACAATGAACTTTCTAGAGTATTTCTTACCTTCTGCTCTATTCCAGGAACTTTAAGAACGTTCTTGTTTACCTCTCTCTTACTGCAAGAACATAGAACAAAAAATCATTTAGCCACTAGTTACAGCAAATACCAATAAACAGGAACACAAGAAATTGACTAAATTTGCAATAATCATTATTCGTTGATAATTTTACTACCAAATCATGTCTTTAAACTATAAAATATTTGAAACAAATTCAACTACGTTATCATATAAGGGAATTAGTATCTAGCAATAAACTTACAGTTCTCTAACAGTTTGACCGATTGCCTTCTTCATCCTTGCCCGAGTTCAAAATGAAGCAGCCCCGTCACACTAAAGAAGGCAAAAAAAGGGAAGCTTAGATCCTGAATCATTTCCAGGAATACAAAAGCAATATAGTTAAATACATCTGAACATGCAAGTTCAATCATTATAACGAAAAAGTCAAAGAACTCAAAAGCGAATAATTGAAGATCGATTACATGCGATATATTGACATTTGTCATAGATATCTCGTTTTTTTATTGATATTTCTGAAAGATCCCTGGATCTTAAAATCTTATAAGTAAGAATCTTTATAGGTAAAAACAACTCATAAATAAATGCGAATATGAACTTTTTTGAACAATTACGAATTCAAAATACAAAAATCAATCAATATGAGGCGAAATTCAGCTGAATTTAGATACATGAAATTAGATCTACAAAATGAAAAATCTAAACGAAACTACAAATTAAAAAAAAAACTGAATCAGATCTGAATGAGAGTGAAAGAGAGAACGAAAAAAAAACAAAGAGAAGAGAAACGAAATCTTAACCTGACTGAATCGAGATTGAAAATTGCAGATCCGACGGAAAAGAATTTCAAAGAAATCGATCGTCGCTGTTAGAGTGAGGAAAAACAATTGAAGAGAAAAAGAAAATGGGAATTTTCAGAGGAAAAACATGAGACGAATTCATTATTCACATTAGCAGTTGAGAAATGAAAAAAAATAGTTATTACAAAATTTCAAAACTACCACTTGTCTTCGCATTATTGATTCGAATTAAGAAAATATAATTAGATTTAAAACATATAAGTTAAGAGTTAATTGCAACATACATTCTCATATGACCTTCTTTCTAAACTAATTCCTAAACTTTTAAATATTCTAAATTCATACCCAAATTATGATCCTTATTCTATAGTAATCTCCAAACTTTTGAATGTTCAAATTTAATCCCCAACTTTTTAAATGATCTTGGGGACATTGTTGGAACATTCAAAAATTTGGGGATCATTATAGAATGAGGTTCATAGTTTAAGAATGAATTCAAAATATTCAAAATTTTATGGATCAATTTCGAATGAGAACTATAATTTAGAGATAAAATTAAAATATTTAAAAATTTAACGACCAATTTAAAATAAGATTCATCATTTGAAGATGTGTAGTATAATTATTTTGTTAAATTAATTATAAAGTAATTTTTCTCATATCAACTTCTTCTATTTATCTTTTTATTAAGTATAATAAAAATATTATAAAAAAATTATAACAGTATTAAATAGAGATATACGTAAGTAAAAGTTATTTGATTTAATAAATTTTAACTTATAAAATAAGTCGAATTTGAATAATATTTTTTTTCTTATAATTTACATAACTCAGTTTTGTTTTAAATGATTAAACTACATTAATATTTGGTAATCACTCAATACTTAGTGGATTTATATTCAGGGAAATCCATTTTTTTTATTGAAACTACTGTTGTGAAATATGTAGGCATGCTAATGTAACTTTTAAAGGTGCACCGATTGAAATAAAAGTATTCTTTAATTATAGTGACTCTAATGAAAATTTTATCAAAGTTGGTGATTAAAATACAAATATCTTAAAAGTTATCCTTTAAAAAAGAATCTCAGAATGCAAAGTTTTTCTCAGCGTTTTTCTTCAAAAATTATCGATGATCGGTATATTTATCGATCTAACATCGGTCAGATTATATTTCTCGATCTAACACCCTTAGCAGTAAAGCGCGTCCCCTGCACCGTACTATATGTTGATTTGGAGTCACGTGGGGTATAGTGCGCCCCCTGCACCGCGCTATATGATGACATTAGATACACGTGGGTTAAGCGCGGCCCCTAATCCACGCTATACGGCACATAGGGGTATAACGCGGATCAAAGGGCGCGCTATATCCCTGAGATTTCATTTCATTGCTTGTTTTGTTATTAAAAACCCATCTAATAATTTCCCGTAAAAATAAATAATCTCGTACCAGTTTATTTTCTTTTTCTTGGTATTTATCATATTTTACAGATTAAAAAACTGTAAATGCAATTAATTATTTAACAAAAGTAATAAATTAGGAGTTTTTACCCAAAAATCACTCAAAACAATGAAATATTATCTGTTAGACGCTCTTTATCCAAATATTATTGTTCTAGTACCCTTTCTAACAAAGCGCAGATCATGAAGCGCGCCTTCGCGGGGTTCCGTCTGAGAAGGCGATAATTTATTATTTTATTATATTAATTTTTATTACTTTTTGCAATTATAAAATGGTAGGTGGGTTACTGTGTTTATATGAGAAACATATATCGAGTTATTTTTTCGATAAGGTAATAATTTTAAATTCTGTTATTTTATTTATTATGAATGTTTTATTTAGTTATTTTTTAGTATTAGTTTATATTTTAATTTGTATACAATTTATTTAATTAGGAGAATGATTGTATATTAAATTCATTTATTCATAACGTTAAGTTAAAGATACTAATCGTGTCTGGACATATTTAGCCTTGACTAGATACGGTGACATAGTGAAATATGAAGGGCATTGTAACATTGAACACAACCTTATTTCTGCACTGATTGACATATTAAAATATATTGTATACAAATTAAAATATAAACTAATACTAAAAAATAACTAAATAAAACATTCATAATAAATAAAATAACAGAATTTAAAATTATTACCTTATCGAAAAAATAACTCGATATATGATTCTCATATAAACGCAGTAACTCAGCTGCCATTTTATAATTGCAAAAAGTAATAAAAATTAATATAATAAAATAAAATAAAATAATAAATTATCGCCTTCTTAGACGAAACCCCGCGAAGGCGCGCTTCATGATCTGCGCTTTGTTAGAAAGAGTACTAGAACAATAATATTTGGATAAAGAGTGTCTAACAGATAATATTTCGTTGTTTTGAGTGATTTTTGGGTAAAAACTCCTAATTTGTTACTTTTGTTAAATAATTAATTGCATTTACAGTTTTTTAATCTGTAAAATCTGATAAATACCAAGAAAAAGAAAACAAACTGGTCCGAGATTATTTATTTTTACGGGCAAATTATTATATGGTTTTTTAATAACAAAACAAGCAATGAAATGAAATCCCAGGGGTATAGCGTGCCCCTTGATCCGCGCTATATTCCTAGCGCGATCAGGGGCCATGCTTTACCCACGTGTATCCAATGTCATCATATAGCGCGGTGCAGAGGACGCACAATACCCCACGTGGCGCCAAATCAGCATATAACGCGGTACAGGAGACGCGCTTTACTGCTAAGGGTGTTAGATCGAAAAATATAATCTGATCTATATTACCGGTAATTTTTCGGGAAAAAATCCTTTTTCCTCCCTATCTTGAGTTGTAATAATAGTAGGCCAGATGCTTTGGAGGAATATATAGCCTTTGTTCTCCCACCTTGCTTTTATTACTATTTTATTTTTACTATGATTGTAATAAAATTATTTATTTAGGGTGATACGTAAGATGACAATTCAAGAAAAAAAAATGTATTTTTTTTCATCTGTACATTTTTCGAATTGTTATCTTATTTCCTTATATTTATTATATTAATGGATTATTTTTAAAATTATGTCTTGTTATTTTTTATATCATTCAAACGTAATTAAATATTTCTAATCGAATAAGGTATTAGATCCTCTAAATAAAGTTAGTAGTTCAAATTCTAACATATACAAATGAAATAAACTTAATTGAATCGTTCTCGGAATAGATTTCTAGAGAACTCAATGTGTAAAAAGTGATCAATAAATCAGATATATGTAAATATAAAATCTATATAAGACTTAGTAATTATGGACCAAACCTAACAAGTTAAGTATCGAATTGCGAACAAGTTTGACCATTATGTCATTATTGTTTTTAATTATAACATATTAATTATCTACAGCGCGTACCAAAAAATATGTAGACATTTGCTACTTTATTAGAATGAGGCTTTTAAAATATATTATATTAAAGTTAAATTGTAAAATATCAAAATTTAAGAGGATTGATATAAATAAAAAAAATTGTTCGTTAAACACCATAAATTTGATGATTTTTTTGAAAAGAATTTATTACAATTGAATTGTTGAGATAATAATGCAGAAAATTAGAAGTTTTTTGTTAAATTTTGTCAAGAAAAAATATTTTTTCCAAATTAACTTAATTTTTTTATAAAATATGATACCCCTAAATTTTGGAGCCCTGACACTTACCAATGGACGGGCATGATTATCTATAAAGTTAGAAATACTACATATAAATAATTTAACTATAATCAACTATTGCAATATTCAATCATACTGATAAATGCAATATATTAATATTTGAACCAAAAAAATATAAATAAATCTTGTACATCATAGACTTAAATCATAGTAATTTTCGGAAAAAATGCTTCATTTTTAGGTACAAAAGCATTGGTTTGGACTCAAAATTCTCCACTTCTTTTCTCTAGGATCTCATCACTAGCTAATTTAAATCTAAAAGGATAATGGAGCATTTTAGTTTGATAACTATGATAATTAAACATTAACTAGTCATAGGTGTTTTATTTTTTTTTTATTTTTTGACAGAGAACAATATTATAATTGTATCCTCAAAATATCAATTAGTTTTCTTCGTTAGTCTAATCATTAGTTTGGACGTTAAATACTCATTAACTTAATACACCATTTGACAACTTATATATGCCTTGCTTAGAAAAGGAAGAAATAGCATTCTGAGTTTTTATTGGCGTAGTCTATTTTCAATGCCTTGTGTTCAAGTTGATCGAAAATATGGTGTACAAACTACCTTAGAATTTTGATATTACTTTGGAGAGAGAGTACCCTTAGCTTAGATAGATTTCTTCTTAATAATAAGATTGATTATATGACATTATATGTTCATAATATTTCTTAGTCATTAACAATGTACACACACCTTACAGATATAGGTGCTTGAACACACATATATATATAATGAGCTAAAATATTGATACCTATCAATGAGTTCGGCTTAGATAGAATTCTATTGAATATATATATATATACGTCTAACTTAGGTTTGATTGGTTCAAATATTTTACGTCATCTATGTCATGTAGGTTTCTAACCTCGATTGCGATACGTCTGCATGCAAAAGAAAGCCTTTTTTGTTTTGTACATTTAGTAACTAATAAATTGGTTCTATCTTATAAACTATTTCCAAATTCCATACTCTTTCCAAGTGAGGTGAAAGTATTTTAAGATACAAAATTTTTCCTCAACAATATTTGTATGTACCTTATTTATGTCTTATAAACATCAAATTTTCATTTATCACTCTACAAGTTTAAGCATATTATAAACCGTTTTAAAGGTATAATGGAATATAACATAAAATCATAATTTTATTGTTCAGACTTTCACTTCTATCAATAAATAATGTCTCAAAGTTCTAAATCTATTATTTTCTAACATATAATATTTTATTCGTAGTAATCGACCAATAAATCATATACATTGTATATCTAAGCTCTTCCACTTGCATCCAAAGAACCATAGATTGCTTGGAAAAGAGTAATGTAGTGGTAACTATTATTTCACCACCACTTTGCTAAGGGTGGCCACTAAGCTGGATACGGACTTTACTTGATGAGTTAGCCGTTAAGGCTGTGGAAAAACCAGTAATCTGATGTTATAATACCAGCGTCGTAGACATGATTGATCCTGTGTTTCATGCAAGATCGAAAAATGTAGAACTTCACGTATATGCATTACGTGAGAGAGAAAGTAGCAGAGAATAAGCTACAAGTGAACATATTCCAGCAAAAGAACAAGTTGCAGACATCTTGACAATCATCAAGTCACTTAAGAAAGAAACTTGGCATTGTAAACAATCATTATTAACATTTACGGCACCAGTAACATGAACCAAAACATCTCCACGATCGCATTTTAAATTCGTAGCGTCTCTATCATGCTTATTGTTTGATGGTAAAGTCTAAGGTTGTGACTATCCAAACCGATTTATTCCTTTTAATTTGGACCAAAAATCATAGTAGATTTAAAAAAAAAAACTATAAAAGTTATTAAGTTAAAGAAGAGTGATAAAAAAAAAAAAAAAGATGAATAGTCGAGAATGTTCAATCTCTTTCTGGTCTTTTATGAAGACTTAGAATTATCATAGGTATCCCTAAGTTGATACCATTTGACAATAAATTTAACGTTGACAGATCTCTTGAGTCTGTCAATAATCTTATCAAGAGTTTATGGTTGGATGGAGGATATAAGATCTCAGAGACTTCGTCTTGCAGAAGAGTTCCTCCAAAAACTTTGATAAACGGAAGAATTGTTGTTCGCAGAGGAGTATATGTAGAGGTATAATATTTAAAAAAATTAAATAAAATTTGATTAATTTAATTTTTTATTTAACTTGATCAAATATTTTCTCAATTATATTTCTTTCGTAATCTACTTTTAAAACATAATTTCTGGAGAAAAAAATATAGATCTAGAAAGCTTGAATTCGTTGAATTGAAACGATGAATTTTAATAAAAATTATTATTCAAAAGAATTTGTTGTTGTTTTAATAATAAGACTAATTTTAATAAAATTTTCAGAAATTTCGTCTTGCTGAAATAATAAATTCTTTTAAATAATAATTTTTATTGAAATTTATTGTGCTGAAAAAACAAACTCATTCTTTATTGTGATAATCGCTCTAAATGAAGAAAAAAAATCCCTGACATTTATATTTTCTGAATTTTTTCGATCTCTCATAAATTATTTGAGAAAAAAACCTAAAGAGATGCTGCCAAATAGGGAAAAGGGAATAAATTTTGCATGTGGGTGAGGGCTGCCTCTTGAATTAATTCATCTTTTTTATCTCTTCAACTTTTGACTTGTCAATTAGCTTAATTCCATCAAATTATTGACAAGTGATGATGATCATAATTATGATAATGACTTGGCAACTATCTCCTTCACCTATTTCACTTTTTCCATTTCGTTTATATTTAATTACTTACTCAAATAAGTTGTTTAGTAATTTTTCCTACAAATAAATGAAAATATTAAAAATAGAAGCTTATTTTAGAAGGTGCATTGCACCAACCCCTCAGCTAAACTTACTTATATTCATTACTTAATGCAAGTTCATTCTAGATTGCTTATGGGTTTTGTTGATATATGTTTCCCCATTATAATTATATTTTTTATTACTTCATATTATATTTATTAATTTCATTTTAAGCTACTAATATCCCGAATTCCGCTTCTTTTTTTTTAGAAAAAATTACTCGATTTGATTTATTGTTTGTTAAAAAACATTTTTGTCATATTAAATGCGACGTCGTTTATGATTGCATCGATTTGGTACGAACAGCTAACTGATTAGAGAAAAAAGCTGTTGTTCGAAAGCATTAGCATTGGGACATAAATATATTCCTTCATTGGTATCACTCATAGTGCACGTAGAAACAACAAGTTATCTATTAAATACCAAATGCATTCCCACAACAAATAGGAAAGCTCAATCCATATGCACAAATAAATTAAACCAAAAACAAATAATTAAAATTCACTCACTTTCTTCTTATGCCAACTAGAATAAATTAAGAGCATGGCTGCCAAAGAAGTAGTTGTCTTTAGGCCTGAATTATCAAAATTGTATCTCTCAAATGCAGTGCTTAGACCCTTATTCCACGGACTTGAAAAGTAACTGTTTTGATGTCCAAATCTCCACTTCTTGGCAACTTCCTTTATTCTTTTGGTGTAACTAGAACCTGAATTTTCAATGTTGGAAATGATTTAGAATATGAAATGATAACTTTATGATTTACTACTAGTTGAATTAAAAGGTTACTTACATGAACATTGTGTGGTTGATCTTTTCGGATCTAGTAGGGAATTGGAGGTGGGGAGAAGCATAAATGTAGACCGGAGGTGGAGGTGATTTCACTGGTGGGGGAGGTGATTGATAGTAGTATGGAGGAGGTGGTGAGGGAGATGGAGGAGGAGGGGACTTGTAGTAGTATGGCGGCGGTGGAGAGTGGACTGGTGGTGGTGGAGATTTGTAGTAGTAGGGAGGAGGAGGGGATGGTGATGGTGGAGGAGGAGATTTGTAGTGGTATGTAGGTGCTGGAGCCTCTACTGGAGGTGGGGGTGATTTGTAGTAGTATGGTGGTGGTCGAGAATGAATTGGAGGAGGGGGTGATTTGTAATAGTAAGGCGGGGGTGGTGAGGGAGACGGTGGTGGTGGGGATTTGTAATAGTATGGTGGTGGTGGAGAGTGAACTGGTGGTGGTGGGGATTTGTAGTAGTATGGTGGAGGAGGGGATTTGTAGTAGTATAGGGGTGGTGGCGATGGAGATGGAGGTGGTGGGGATTTGTAGTAGTATGGGGGTGGTGGTGATGGAGATGGAGGTGGTGGGGATTTGTAGTAGTATGGTGGTGGGGGAGAGTAAACTGGTGGTGGTGGGGATTTGTAGTTGTATGGTGGAGGAGGAGATGGCGACGGTGGAGGAGGGGACTTGTAGTAGTATGGCGGTGGTGGATTGTGAACTGGTGGTGGTGGAGATTTGTAGTAGTATGGGGGTGGAGGAGATGGCGACGGTGGAGGAGGGGACTTGTAGTAGTAAGGTGGTGGTGAAGAGTGTACTGGCGGTGGTGGGGATTTGTAGTAGTATGGTGGAGGAGGAGATGGCGATGGTGGTGGGGGTGATTTGTAATAGTAAGGTGGTAGAGGGGAGTGGACTGGTGGTGGTGGAGACTTGTAATAGTAGGGTGGTGGTGGAGAGTGAACTGGTGGAGGAGGTGATTTGTAATAGTATGGGGGTTTCTCTTCGTGTTTTGGTGGTGGTGGTGGTGGGGACTTATAGTAGTATGGTGGAGGAGGAGATGGTGATGGCGGTGGGGGTGGGGGTGATTTGTAATAGTATGGCGGTGGAGGAGAGTGGACTGGTGGTGGAGGAGACTTGTAATAATATGGGGGTTGCTCTACATGTTTTGGTGGCGGCGGAGACTTGTAGTAGTATGGTGAAGGTGGTGGTGGAGATTTGTAGTAATATGGTGGTGGTGGAGAGTAGACTGGTGGTGGTGGAGACTTATAGTAGTATGGTGGAGGTGGTGACTTGTAAACATAGGTGGGGGATGGTGGTGGTGGAGACTTGTAGTAATATGGTGGTTGTTCTACGTGTTTTGGTGGTGGTGGTGGGGACTTGTAGTAGTATGGTGGAGGAGGAGATGGTGATGGTGGTGGAGGAGATTTGTAGTAGTACGGGGGATTCACTATATGTTTGGGTGGTGGTGGAGATTTGTAATAATATGGGGGTGGAGGTGGTGACTTGTAGACATAAGTAGGAGTAGGCGGTGGAGGTGACTTATAGACATAAGTAGGCGATGGAGGAGGAGGTGACTTGTAGTAGTATGGAGGATTCTCAACGTGTTTAGGTGGTGGTGGAGACTTGTAATAGTATTTTGGAGGAGGTGGTGACTTGTAGACATAAGTAGGAGTTGGTGGCGGTGGTGACTTGTAGACATAAGTAGGCGACGGTGGAGGAGGTGATTTGTAGACATAAGTGTGAGCTGGTGGGGGTGGTGATTTGTATACGTAAGCCGGTGACGGTGGCGGTGGAGATTTGTAGTAATACGGTGGTGGCTTATAAGGATGAGACGGTGGTGGTGGAGAAGTGTAGTAGTAAGGAGTGGGAGGCTTAGGCTTCTCACATTCCTTGTATGGTTTCTTTGGAGCATAAGCAAATGGCTTAGCCTTGAGCACAACCTCGTACTTGTCCTTTGACTTGACCTTGAGCTTGGCACCCTTGTTGCCCAAGTGTAGGCTGGTGGCTATGTTGCATGGTGAACCCTTGGGTGGGGCATGGAGCTTGGCCGTGCAAGCCTCGACTCCATATTTTTCAAAATCGAACCCACCAACTTGGACGCTGAATTTACCATTGTTTCTGGTCTTGTCATAAACCGTGATCTCCTTTTCTCCAGCTTTGCAAGTCACTTCCACGATAGCACCTGCTCCATGTGCAATAATTGAAAATTACTCTCTTTTGCTAAAAAAAATCAACCGAAACATGTTTTTTATTTGTAGTCATCAACAACTCTAATAACTAATTTTGTCTTTCTATGAAATTAATTTAGTTATATTTTTTATAAAACAGATTTTCTATAACCTTTAATTGTAAAATAAATTAATTAATAATGTAAAAAATTAGAGTTTGAATTGTTTGTACCTTTGAGGTGTTTCTTGTCGTGTGACTTCACTGGGTAGCTCCAGTCATAGCATCTGTAGCAGTAAACTTTTCCGACCACCTTGACTACGAGAGGATGGGGGTGGGGGTGGGGGTAATAAGGAGTTGGTGGTGGTGGAGAATGGTAGTAGTAAGGAGGGGACTTTGCTGGTGGTGGTGGAGATTTGTAGTAGTATGGAGGTGAGACATAATGAGGAGGAGGAGGTGGAGATTTATAGTAGTAAGGTGGTGGAGGAGACGGTGAAGGTGGTGGTGGAGACTTGTAGTAGTATGGGGGCTGCTCCTCATGTTTCGGTGGAGGTGGTGGAGACTGGTAGTAGTATGGAAGAGGTGGGGATGGAGATGGAGGTGGTGGAGACTTGTAATAGTAAGGAGGTGGTGGGGATGGGGAAGGTGGTGGTGGAGATTTATAGTAGTATGGAGGTGGTGGTGATGGAGAGGGAGGTGGAGGAGACTTGTAGTAGTATGGAGGAGGTGGTGATGGGGATGGAGGTGGAGGTGGAGGAGACTTGTAGTAGTATGGTGGTGGAGGAGATGGTGAAGGTGGTGGTGGGGATTTGTAGTAATAAGGAGGTGGTGGGGATGGTGAAGGTGGTGGTGGAGACTTATAGTAGTATGGGGGCTGCTCCTCATGTTTTGGTGGTGGTGGTGGAGACTTGTAGACGTACGGAGGAGGTGGTGACGGAGATGGAGGTGGTGGAGACTTGTAGTAGTAAGGGGGTTGCTCCTCGTGCTTTGGTGGTGGTGGAGACTTGTAGTAGTAAGGGGGTTGCTCCTCGTGCTTTGGTGGTGGTGGAGACTTGTAGACATACGGAGGGGGTGGTGACGGAGATGGAGGTGGTGGAGACTTGTAGTAGTAGGGAGGTGGGGGTGATGGTGAAGGAGGTGGTGGAGACTTGTACTCGTAAGGAGGTGGTGGAGGAGATTTGTACTCATAAGGTGGAGGAGAAGGTGAAGGTGGTGGGGGAGAATTATAAATGTACGGCTTCTCTTCATGCTTTGGTGGTGGTGGAGGAGAAGGTGATGGTGGTGGTGGTGATTTATATACATACGGAGGCGGTGGTGGTGACTTGTACTCATAAGGTGGTGGAGGTGAAGAGTAGATATAAGCATCAGCAGACACTGAACCTACATTGCTTGCAACAACAACAACGGCCATAGCCACTAGTATTTGGGGCCAAAACCTGCCCCCCGTCGGGTTTCCCCGCCGTACCATCATCGATAACAACCAAAGAACACCACCGTCAGCCAATGTGCCAAGATTTTCTCGGAGTTCCCTGTTTTGGAAGAAAAGAAAGAGGGGGGAGAAGGAGTTTTGTTTTGGTTGGTGTCTATTGAGTTCAGAAGCTTGCATGAAATGAAGAGTATATATAATACAAAAACAGTCGTTTATGGAGTGCTGTGCCACATGGTACAATTTCGATTGATTTTAATTAAATTCATGTAAGAAAAGAAGTTTCTTAGAACTTGAAAAATTGGATCCTAAAATAATATATTTTTATCATAAATTTTATATATTTAATTTATTAATTGATTTATCTAAATTAAATACAATCGAAAATTATTGTAAAACATATTTCTAACTTTATTTTCTGTTTTTAGAATATATATCACGAGTCAAATATTTCACTTTGTTTAAAAAATTTAACATCCCATTTTATTAAATTACTTAAAAACTAATATATATCAAATCTACTATCAACTTTTCAATCAATTTATTTTAACAATTATTCTCTAAATTAATTTCAAGTTTTCAGGAAATAATGTTGGAAGAAAACAAAAGTGAAGGCGGCTTCTGAGTTCTGGTTCTATTTTTTCTTCTTATTCCTGCTGTGAATTTGGCTGGTAATAGAATATTCGTGGCACATTCGTAGCCTTTAGATCATATCCACTCTTTATTCATCCAACCGTTAATTATATCTTCACTAACACCAGACATTTATAATAAAACCATATGATTAAATTTTAACTAAAAATATATTTTATTAATTAAATAATAATAATAATATAAGTCAAATTGAACAATATAATTATTTTAAATCCAACGCATAACCCTAACAACTATTTCTAATATTCCCTTCTCAGTTATTTCAAATCCATATATTTATTCTTCAAAAAAATCCATATATTTATATTATATTCGTATTTTTATTTATTATAATTATTTTCTAAATATTTGAACATATTTATATATTATATTTTTTAGGGTAAAAAATCCAACCCAAAACCAGTTAATATCTACATTATTTTTTCTTTAAATTCCTTATTGTTTATATATTATATTGTTTATGCCAGTTGCTAGGTTATTATTTACCAATATTTTGACTGATTTTTCCATTATTATTATTATTTTAAGGCACGTCCATACCCACCTTCAATGCACTGATCGGTAACTAGTTTTTCTTTAAAAATATATAAATATTTTTATATTATCTTTCTAAAAACCCATGTGATTTCTCAGTTATGAGGCACGTGGCATGTGAAATTCCATGAAGTGCAACAACAGCTTTTTCTGGAGATTTTAATTACAAAAAAGGAAAATAATTGTATTGAGTTCTTTCTTGTGTAAGAAATAATTAGCGTAAAGTATATAAAGGTTCTTAAATTATTATCAAATAATTATTTTAACTAATAAAAATTTTAAAAGTTATAAAATTATTATTAAATATATCGAGTTATTATAAAATGACTATTGTAACATTATAATAATATAGCTTGATAAATATAATATCATTTTATAATAGTTTGATAAAAGTTAATAATTATTTTGTGAACCCATTAAACGATCTTGGTGAAAAGGAATGTTGTTATCTCTAGATGTTTCGAGTTCAAGCAGTTGTATATGCAGGGTGTGTATTTGTTGTCAACGGTTAAAAAAGATTCTGAATAGATACTACCTTGTAATTACCATACTATTATAATTATTTTATAACAAAGTGATAAATTTAATAATTGATAATATTATTTCAATACTTTGATAATTTAATGAATATTTTGTAATATTACAGTGATAAATTTATATTAATTTGATAAATTTAACAATTATTTTATAAATTTTAAAAATTAACTGATTTAATCATAATTCAAGAACATTTAATGTAATTTACCTAAATAATATTCATTAAAATTGTCACTGTGGCATTGTAATAATTATAAATTTTTGATAAATTAATGATAATTTTGTAATAGTTTGATAAAGTTTAGTAACTATTTTTTTTTGAAAAAGTTTCAGATGATTTTATTAAAATTCATATAAAACACAAATAAAGATCAGAGTCTCATTAAAAAACTTTGGTAGCCTTATATGGAGGAAGAAGAGTGCAACCTGTCAATGTTAAGAAATACAACTTATTACGACAATACAACAATACTCATTTGAATTAATCTATAACTTTTGAAAGTTTAGTGACCAAAATAATCACTTGAGTATAATTTAGTGACTTGTGCTGTGTTTTGCTCTTTAATTTATTCTTTATGTTATGAAACATGCAACCCTCATTGGCATAAAAGTCAACTTCTCAAGGGCGCCAACTATTTAGTTGTTGCAGAAATTAGCTGTAATGAATAAACTATTATAATTTAACCCAAATTTTAGTTTCTGACCATTCACATTAGTCTTACATGAAAACAACCCATAAGTGAAGTATTCCGGATTCTGTCCCAAATAACACACGGGACAATAGCACCGACCATCATTGAGCATATTCGAGAGAAAGTGAACAAGGACTGGACAGTATCTTTCTCACTGGTTAAACGAGGAGTGAATCGGGTTGCAGACAATATGGCAAGCCAGAAAGACGACTTCGGCGGGCGAACATTCCAGGCACCACCAGAGGCTATACGTTCGATCCTCCTGGAGGATGAGTTAGGAAGCAGTTTTTTTTTTTTTTTTGGTAACAAAGAGTAAAGTAACGGCTACACATTGCTATTGTGATGGTCTTCCAGTAATATATGTTTCATTTCCTCAAGTGCCTCCATAATAACCTTGCATTTCGAGTTCCACCTATTTGCTAATTTTGTCATTCCATCCGCAACTTGATTTCCAATCAAGGACGAAATCGATAATAACAAGAGGTCTTTCATAATCTATAATCCGAATCTAACTCTTTCAACATTATTTTTAATTTTGAAACTCGAAATTTATAATTTTATCTCAATTCTCATATGGAAAATTTATAGTGTCACCCTTGAACACTATTAATGTTGTATTATTAAAGCCCTCTTTTTTATTAAGAAATTGTGTTGGTATACACATATTTAGATCATTTAGATCATGTGATCCATAAATTAAACTCCAAATTTTAATAAAATAATTTGAACTTAAATATTAATTTTTACAACCGATCGTTATTTTCACACGATAATCTAATTTATCTGAAGAAAGAAGACTGTTGATCGAATGGGATAAAATGTTAGGTTATTTAAATAATATTAAATATTCAAAATTTAATATTATGAATGAAATAAACTAGATTGAAATATCATCCTTGTAATTAAAATTTATAATGTTAATTCAAATTATTGATCAATTAATCGGATAATAAATTTTTTTAAAAAAGTAAGTAAAATGTTACCCTTAAGTCAGTGCCGTGTAAAGGAAAACCATTGAAAAATCTAACTTGGAGTGTTAAGAGGTGGATATGAGTTGTTGGGGCATAAGGGTTAGAGGAATATATACGTACATATATATATATATACATATATATATATATACATACAAATATATATATATATATATATATATGGAAACATTATCTGAAATAATGTTGCTCCTAACTTTTTCCTTCTGTTATCTTTGCCTTTGAAAATTATAAAAATGAAAACCACATATAAAACAATGTGAGTCTCATAAGTTTAGGTACAATATGTAAAAAATCAAATACAATATAATTTATAATATATTTTATATATATTCAAATTGAAAATTTGATTCATTCAATAATTTATGTAAAATTATACGAATAATACAAAAAAAATATAATTATCAATGTATATGTATAATATATGTATCTAAGCTTAAAATGTCAATTATCATTTGATATGATGGGATGAGTCGTTGGTTCCATATATAAGATCAGATGTTTGAATTTTAGATATGTGAATAAAACAAATTAGGTTGGACAAATTAATCCTATAATAAGTCTCGAGAATATCTTATCTAAATTAATTGATCATTGAATCGAATATCATCGATTATCATATCGAAGAATCCTTAAAAGTAAGGAAGAAGGTAAAAGAAAAGGATTGGGACAATGTCCTTTTCAATGCCATATAATGTTAACTATTTATGTTGAAGTCATCAAAAGGACCACTTTCAATTTATAATCAAAATTAGTAACTAAAATTTCAACTTAGGTAGCTACTTTTGAACAAATTATTTCTATTTATCATTAAAATTAGTTACTAAAATTAGAACAAATTAGCTACTTTGGAAGACATTTGTTGTCTCACTAAATTATGTATTGTTTTCACTTTAATGATCATGAAAGATATAAATATTAAGATAAAATATTGATATGTAATACACATTCGAACAATTATCATTTAAATTAATTACTGTAAAATATGATTGAATCGATAAACATTGGAATAAATTTGATTAATTGAAATAAAATTTAAAATAAGAATTCACACTTATATTTTCGGAGTAAAATCAATTATTGGTTTTTACACTGTTCTTAGTCTTGGATGACGTAGGAAGTTTAAAACTTCTTTAAGTTATCTTTGAAGATACATGCATGGAGTAAATGCCTTTTAGTCTCTTTTGGAATTGTTTCAATGACACTCTTTTGCTTGCTTTAATAGAAATTTCAAAAAAAATATTTAATTAATTAATGCAGTTACAACTATAATTATAAAAAAAATTCAATAATAATAATAATAATAATATATGTAGTATGTTATAATGTACAATTGGACTGAAAATTAATATATAACGTGAGGTATAATTTTTAAAAAAAATAATAGTTGAGTGATTAAAATAAAATAAAAGTGATAATTATGATAATAAACGTGTAATTTATCTTTAAATTTAACTTATTGAATAGCATAAATAGTAAAAATGAATGTTATTCTCTATTCAAAACTTTAGTTAGTCGAACTATATTTTTTTATAATTACTCTAAATCATACTCGATGCGATCAAATCACTTCCGCGAGAAAGAAACAAATAGTAAAAAACAATTTTCTTCAAAAAGAGTTCTCATAAATAGATTAAATTTGGAGATTTGAAAATAAGAGAAGTACCATTTTCAAACCCAAAACCGGCAATAGATGTGACAGTAGCCCTGATTTAGTGCTGCCTCACATGAGATTAAAATCTTAATTAAATTAA